TGATATTGTCTTGTATTTAATTCAACGGATTGAATTAAAAGTTTATCGTTTAAGTTTACAGATACCAAGCCAACAATATTGATGAAACAGTAAGTTTTTAAAAAAAGTTATATTTTATTTATATTATTATTCTTCTAAAACTAATATTTAATTTACTTACTAAAAAGGATCTTTTTTATTGAATGCCTCCTAGTCAAACTCTTTCTACTAAACCTGTTCCTAGTCAAAAAAAAGATAAGTCAAGAATCACTGTACTTTTTAGCATTAATGCAACTGGAATAGATAAACTCAAACTATAGGTAATTGGTAATGCAAAACATTCAAGATCACTTTTAAAGGTTAATTTAGGATCCCTTTCAATTTACTACCATGGAAATCTGAAAGTATGGATGAATTCTTTGGTTTTTAAAGAGGTGCTTTGTGAAATGAATAATTATTTTAGGATACAAGACAAAAAAATTTTACTTTGATTGATAATGCTTCATCACATTTCAATCCATATAGTTCATCAACTTTAGGAATTGAACAAGACAATCAAGATGAAGATAATGATGGTAAAATTGAATTTGCAGCTAGTGGTTCAAGCAGTCATGATAGTCGTAGTGGTAGATCAAGAGGTTGTGATAGTCATGGTAGTGGATTAAAAGGTCATAGTAGTCGTGGTAGTAGATCAAGAGGTCGTGGCAGTCATGGTGTAGATCAAGAGGTCGTAATAGTTATAGTGGTGGATCAAGAGGTTGTGATAGTTGTGGTGGTAGATTAAGAAGTCATAGTGGTCATAGTGGTAGATCAAATATTTTTCAGCAACTAACTCATATTGAGATTGTTTTTTACTTCTAAATACTACAAGTTATCTTCAACCACTCGACATTAAAATTATTACAAATTTCAAGAGTTATTTTAAAAGAAAATACTATCGTCATATACTAGATCTTTTTGAAGATGGAAAAGACATTAATAATGAGAAAATTAGTATTAAAGAAACAATAAATTATATTGCAGAAGCATGAGATTGTGTAACTGAAGAAACAATTCAGAATTATTAGAAAGAAACTGGAATTCTTCCTTCTTTGATTGATGAAGATATGGATGATGTGATACAAATTTAAAGAAGAAGAAGCAAATATTAATCAAATAATTGAAGAACTTAATATGAATGATTCTTTTGCAACTTTATTAGCAGATACATTAAATGATTTCTTTAATGACTTGGAGGGAATTCCAACTGAAGATATTTTGGATGAAAATGATATTATAAACTTGTTAAAGAGAAAATGCATAATGAAAGTAATGAAAATAGTGATTCTGAAGAAGAACAAACGCCAGTATCTCTAAGCGATGCTTTTAAGTCTTTACAAATATGAATTACATTTTTTGAGCAACAGCAAACGGATGAATTTTGTGTAGCAGATATAAAGATCTTTAACAAATATTTTAAATAATCAAATGACTTGAACTACAATCTCAAAAGCAAGTTTCAATTACAGATTTTTTTAGCAGTTGATTAATATGTAATTTACATAGCATTTGTTATAATATTACATAGCATTTAAATTTACATTTAATAAAAGTGTTCTAAAATTCACCATTGTTACATTTAATAAAGTATTCTAAAATTAACTATTGTTGCATTTTTCAAGTATTTTAAAAATTAGGTAACAGGAATCATTATTAAATCCCAGAGTGTAATACAGATTTTTTACATAGTCACAGCACATGATTTTTTAATATGATTGTGATTGTATAAGGGTTACCCTTTTACAGTCACACCTCTATACAATCACCAGTTTTGAGGGAACCAATTAGGTGACTATATGGGAATCTGACTGTAATTATGTTTATAATAAATAAATGTAGTAAACAAATTGCATTGACTCAAACAATAAACATGTAGACTGACTGACAAATTTATTAAGTTGCATAGTATTTAATAGTCTTTTGCTTATGTTCTGGACTAATCATTTCCAAACTTATGTTGATCAATTCTAAAATCTAATTTTAGATTTTTGACTAATATTATACAAAAAATGAGAAATTTTGACAACCTTAATTGCTTGCTTTATTAATAAGATAATCAACTATAAAATTTTAATCAACCAAATAAAAGTTTATATTTCATATAATAATATGAATCAAAAATCCATTTTTGTTTGATGGGATCCCGTAAGGTGATTTTAATTGCTTAGATCCCATATATTCTTGGGACTTATAATTATTTAGTGTGTAAAAAACCTATTCTTCACATGCGGCGTTAAATGTCACATGATTTAATTTTGGCCAGCATTACATAATTTTGCCCAGAGGCGATACATCGCACGCGTGATGAATAAATTTACTCTATTTTTTATTTTTCTGTTAATTTCTTTTTGTTTCGCGAATTTTTTTTTATTATAATCTAAATTTTTTTTTAATAATTTTTCTAATTTATTTTTAATTTAATTTTTTTTTTTTATTTAATAATTTTAATTTTAAATTTGATTTATTTTAATTGATTTTTTTTCTGATGTATTCTTTTTTTTAATTCTACCTAAAACAAAAAAAATTGCGAATAAGCGCGATTTATTTTTTATTTTTATAATCGCGGGTTCTAATAATTAATTTTTTTTTTAATATTTTTAATTTGCATCTCAAGCACAAACTCAATGGATCTATCGATTAATCGAAAATCGAAAATCGAATCTTCGAGTCGAATTTGAGAAACGATAATCGCGATTCTAAATATCGAAATCGAATTCCAATCCCTAGGTCCCGTAACTTGATTTAATAGCTTAGCAATAAAAATTGGTTAAAATATATCGACATCGTTAACCGGTTTTAAAGACGCCAAAGCTAATACCCAAAAATTTAACCATACTATTATACTACTATCATACTATCACATTTCTTTTTTAATGTTGTTTAGAACAAAAATAAAAAAAAATTCTATTGTTCGTTGTCCACATTAGTTAAAATTTTTCTTTATTCGGTTAATTTACAATATGAAAATTATTTTAATATTAAATATAAAAGTTTTAATTCCACGTTCAAATTACTTTTTTTTAAAAGAAAGTTGTAATTTTAAAAGGATGTTGTTTCTATATCGTATCCTATATTCAATTTTTATAATCAATTTATTTGTTTCCTATAACCCAACATTATGCGAAACATACAAATATACTAGAGAATATCTTCTCAACAGCAAGCTTTTTAACCTTGAACCACCACAAACTGCCTTTTCTCTTGACATTCAACCCATTAGTTATCCTGATAAATGCGAATTAATACAATTACATTCGGTTTCTAGACACGGTAATTACTACTTCGTATACTTTAAGTGTAGTATAAAAAAATTTCTGTTTTTTTTTAAATAAAATTATTAGGATCAAGATATCCAACTCCAGAAGATATCATAGCTTTTGACGAATTGGAAAAAATATTTGCTAATGTTTCTTTTGCAAAAGAATGGGTAAAGAAACTAATTTAATTATGTGTAATTTAATAAAATGTTGTCATGATAAACAAGACAATTGCTTTTCTTTTTAGTATAAAAATCCTTTCCCCATGAGGAAAAGTCAACAATTGGTCAAACGAGGAGAAATCGAACCTTATTTTGATGGTTTACAATCTCGTAAGAGATACACAAAATTTTGGGATGGAGTTGAATATGATCCCGAAGTTATAAAATTTCAAAGCACTCAAACTCCAAGGTACAATTTATAAATGATTAGATCATAATTAAATAAAAATGATGATTTATATGTAATATTCTTGTTATTTAAGAACCGGTGCGTCGATGATGTCTTTTTCTCAAGGATTATTTAATGGCAAGGGTCCTTTAGACACTTGCAAAAGCCAACCCATATATTATTGGAATTTACCACAGGTATATTTTAATGCGCCATTTATAAAGATGAGATGTTTTTTATTCAAATCCATTAACAATTACTACACATTGCATAATTCTTGTATAGGAACAAGATGATATATTATCTATGTATCTCGCCTGTCGACGTTGGAACGAGACCGTTGTTGCAAGTAATAAATTACTTGAACAAAGCTATGCTTACGGTAACACGACTCTAACCCAAATTGCCAAGCGACTTTCCGAAAGATATCATTTAAGTCCACATCTTGATCCACATCTAGTACCAGAAATTTTTCAAAATTGCCGATTTTGGCTCACGGTTTTTAATCGAACCGACGCATGGTGTTCACTATTAAGTCCTAAAGAACTTTTACTAATACGACATCATTACGATATAATTTTTTATTATCAATATTCTTACGGTCATCCTCTTAATACACGACTGGGCTGTAGATATTTCACTCAGCTTGTGAATGGAGTTGAAGATTATTTAAATGGTAATTCTAGTATGATTGCTGATCTAAAAAATGCTCATAGTTTTACATTATAT